GGGGCTGGTTTCCCATTTGGGTTGGGTTGGGGCTGGGTGGGAGCTGGTGTGGATTTGGGGCTGGATGCAGGTTGGGGTTGGGGTCTGGCTTTGGGGTTGGGTCTGAATCTGGTTTTCCATTTGGATTTGGTTTGGATTGGGGCTGGTTTTGGGGCTGGGTCTGAGTTGGGCTCAGGCTTTGGGGTTGGGTCCGGGTTTGGGTCTGAGTTTGGGGTCGGGTTGGGGCTGGTTTGGGGCTGCGTTTGAGCCAGTGTGGATTTGGGTCTGGATTTGGGGTTGGGGTTGGGGTTGGGTCTGGTTTTCCACTTGGATTCAGGTTGGATTGAGGCTGGTTTTGGGGCTGGGTCCGAGTTGGGCTCAGGCTTTGGGGTCGGGTCTGGTTCTGGTGTTGGTTCTGGGTTTGGGTCTGAGTTTGGGGTTGGATTTGGGTCTGGATGAGTCTGGTGTGGTTTGGGGTCAGGATTTGGGTTGGGATTTGGGTCGGTTTGGGTTCAGCTTCAGGTCTGGGTCTGGATTTGGGTTTGAGGTCTGGGTTCGGGTCTGGTTCCAGGGTGGATTTGGGTCTGGATTTGGGTCGGGGTTTGGATTTGGATCTCAGTCTGAGTTTCAGTTTGGGTTTGGATTTGGTTTGGGTCTGGGTTTCAGTTTGGGTTGGTCTGGATTTGGGTCTGAATTTGGGTACGAATTTGGATTCAGCTTTGGTTCTGGGTCTGGATTTGGGTTCGGATCTGGGTTTGGGTCTGCGGTCCGGGTCTGAGTTCTGGTCTGGATCCAGGGTTGGGTTGGGCTGGGTTTGGACTTGGGCCTGAATGGCTGGGTGTGGGTTTGGGTTTGGGCTGGGCTGGTTTTAGGGCTGCCGTCGGGGGGGTCGGGGTGGGTTTGGGTTTTTGCTGAGCCTGGTGTGGGTCTGACTTTGGATGTGGGTCAGGATTGGGGTTTGGTTCTGGAGCGGGTCGGGCTCTGGGTTTGGGCCTGGGTGAGAGCTTTGGTTTGGATCTCAGCTTGGATTTGGGTTTGGGTTCGCTCTGCGTTGGGGCTGCGCTGGGGTTCAGGTTTGGGTCTGAGTTTGAGTTCAGGTTTGGGTCTGGGGTCGGGTCGGAGTTTGGGTTGGGTTGGATTGGGGTCGGGTCGGAGTTTGGGTTGGGTTGGATTGGGGTTGGGTCGGGTCTGGCTTTGGGTCTGGGTGTTGAGCCTGGTGTGGATTTGGGTCCGGCTTTGGGGTCGGGTTGGGTCTGGTTTCCATTTGGGTTGGGTTGGGTTGGGTCAGGTTTTGGGGTTGGATCTGGTTTCCATTTGGTTTGATTCGGGTTGGATCTGGTTTTGGGGTCGGGTCGGATCGGGTCTGGTTTCCATTGGCCTGGGATTGGATCCGAGTTTGGGTCTGGGTCTGGTTTTGGGGTTTCGTTGGGTCTGGTTTCCATTTGGGCTGGGGTCGGATCGGGTCTGGCTTTGGAGTTGTGCCTTAGTTGGAGTCGGGCTTTGGGTTGGGCTGGTGCTGGTGTGGGATCTGGCTTTGGGATCGGGTCTGGTTTCCATTTGGATCAGGGTTGGGTCAGGACTGGTTCTGGTGCTGGGTGGGAGCCTGGGGTGGATTTGGGTCTGGCTTTGCAGTTGGGTTGGATTGGGTCTGGTTTCCATTTGGATTGGGGTTGGATCTGAGTTTGGGGTTGGGTCGGGTCGGGTCTGGTTTTGGAGTTGTGTCTTAGCTGGAGTCGTGCTCCGGGTTGGGCTGGTTGTGGTTCTGGTTGTGGTTGTGGTGCTGGTTGTGGTGCTGGTTGTGGTTCTGGTTGTGGTTGTGGTTCTGGTGCTGGTTGTGGTTCTGATGCTGGTTGTGGTGTCGATTCTGGCTTTGGGGTTGGTCTGAGTTCGGGTTGGGCCCGGTTTCCATTCGGATCGGGGTCGGACCGGGCCTGGCTTTGGGGCCGGGTCCGAGCCCGGCGCGGCTTGGGGGGGGGGCGGCCGGTTCCGATGCCGGTTCCGGTTCCGGCGCCGCCCACCTCGGCACCGCAGCGCATCCCCCGCGGCCGCCCCGCAGGCAGCCCCGCAGCTGACGCCGATCCACCGCGCCGGTTACTGCGCCTTCTACGGCAGCTGCGGCCGCAACCCGGAGCTGAACGCCTCGCTGGTGAGCACGGACGTGCCCTGCCTGTCCAACAGCCCCGCGCGCACCGCCTCTGCCGCCGTGCTGCCGCTGCTGCGCTCCGTGTGCCCGGAGCTGGTGCGGGACGACAACGCCAGCGCCACGCTGCTCTGCTGCTCGTCGGCCCAGCTGCTGGCCCTGCAGCTCTCGGTCGCCCTGTCGGGCGCCGTGCTGTCGCGCTGCCCGTCGTGCGCCCGCAACTTCGCCAACCTGCACTGCAACAACATCTGCAGCCCGGATCAGAGCCTCTTCATCAACGTCACCCGCGTCGTCAACGCCACGGCGGCGCCGGAGCAGCAGGCGGTGGTGGAGTACGAGAGCTTCTACCGGCAGAGCTACGCCGAGGCCGCCTTCGAGTCGTGCATCGGCGTGCGGCTGCCGGCCACGGGCGGCTACGCGCTGGACACCATGTGCGGCATCTACGGCGCCCGGCTGTGCACGGCGCAGCGCTGGCTCGACTTCCAGGGCGACACCAGCAACGGCCTGGCGCCGCTGCGGATCCGCTTCCGGCTGCTGCCCGACGGCGTCGAGCCCGGCGCCGGCATCGAGCCGCTGAGCGGCAGCCCGTGGCCGTGCGACGGCTCTCCGGACGCCGAGCAGCAGCCGTGCAGCTGCCAGGACTGCGCCGCGTCCTGCTCGCCCATCGCCGCCCCCCCGGACCCGGCGCCGCCGTTCATGCTGGGCTCGGCCGACGGCGCCCTGGTTCTGTGCGCGCTGCTCTTCGCCTTCTTCGCCCTCGTCTTCCTCACGGCCATCGCCTGCGGCGGCGGCGGCGGCACGGTGCGCATCACGGCGGCCGAGCCCGGCTGCGCCGCCCGCGTCTCGTCCAGCAGCCGGCGCGCCGCCGCCCGGCTCTTCGCGCGCTGGGGCACGGCGGTGGCCTCGCGGCCCGTCCCGGTGCTGGCGGCGGCCGCGGTGCTGACGGCGGGGCTGACGGCGGGGCTGATCCGGCTGCGGCTCACCACCGACCCGGTGGAGCTCTGGTCGGCGCCCGACAGCCAGGCCCGCGCCGAGAAGGAGTTCTTCGACCGGCACTTCGGGCCGTTCATGCGCACGTGCCAGATGATCGTCACGGCCCGGCAGCCCGGCCCCGCCGTCCCGTACGAGTCGGTGGTGCTGGGCGCCAAGAACTTCAGCTCGGTGCTGAACGCCGAGGTGCTGCAGGCGCTGCTGGAGCTGCAGGAGGAGCTGGCGGAGGCCGGCGCCTGGGTGGAGGAGGAGGGCCGCGAGGTGACGCTCAAGGACGTTTGCTACGCGCCGCTCAACCCCGCCAACGCCTCCAGCGCCGACTGCTGCGTCAACAGCGTCACCCAGTACTTCCAGAACAACCGCACCCGGCTGCGCATGCGCGCCCCGCAGAGCGCCGACGGCGTGAGCGGCACCGCCGACTGGAGGGATCACGTGATGTACTGCGTCAAGTGCGTGAGGGGCGGGGCGTCGGGGGGGCGGGGCGTGGGGGGGGGGGGGGGTGATGAGTTGTAGGGTTGCGGTGATGGGCGTCGGGTGTTGGGTATGGGGTGGGGGCTGGGGGTGATGGGTTGTGGGTTGGGGAGGTGGGCATTGGGTGTGGGGTGAGGAGTTGTGGGGTTGGGGTGATGAGCATTGAGCAGGAGCTGTGGGGGGACAGGTTGTAGGACCAGGGTGGTGGTCGTTGAGTGGGGGCTGTGGGGTGATGGGCCGTAGGGTTGAGGGGATGGGCTGTAGGGTGATGGGCACCGGGTGTGGGGTGAGGGCTGTGGGGTGGTGGGCTGTAGGGTCAGGGTGATGGGTGTTGGCTGGGAGCTATGGGGTGATGGGTTGTGGGGCCGGGGGGGTGGGCGTTGGGTGCGGGGTGTGGGGTGCAGAGCTGTAGGTTGGGGTGATGGCCATGGGGCGTTGGGTGTGGGGTGGGGGCTGTGTGGGGTGGGTTGTAGGATTGGGGTGATGGTCGTTCAGTGGAAGCTGTGGGGCAATGAGTTGTAGGTCGGGGTGATGGGCATTGAGTGGGAGCTGTGGGGGGACGGGTTGTAGGGCCGGGGGGTGGGCATTGGGGGTTGGATATCAGGTGGGGTGAGGAGTTGTGGGGTTGGGGTGGTGGCTGTGGGGTGATGGGTGCGGGGTGGGGGCTGTGGGGTTGGGGTTGTAGGGTTGGGGTGGTGGTTGTGGGGTGGGGGCTGTGGGAAGATGAGGTGTGGGGTTGGGGTGACGGCCATGGAGGGGTGAGTGTGGGGTGGGAGATACAGGGGATGGGTTGTAGGGTTGGGGTGATGGCTGTGGGGTGATGGGCTGTAGGGTTGGGGTGGTGCCCGTCAAGCGTTGGATGTGGGGTGGGAGCTGTGGGGTGAGGAGTTGTAGGGTTGGGGCGATGGGCATTGGCTGGGAGCTGTGGGGTGATGGGTTGTGGGGTCGGGGGGGTGGCCGTGGGGTGGGGGGGGTGGGGTGGGGGTTGTAGGTCGGGATGATGGGCATTGAGTGGGAGCTGTGGGGGGACGGGTTGTAGGGTTGGGGGGTGGGCATTGGGGGTTGGATATCAGGTGGGGTGAGGAGTTGTGGGGTGGGGGCTGTGGGATGATGGGTGTTGATGGTGTCTGTGGGGTGAGGAGTTGTGGGGTCAGCGCTGTGCGACTCAGAGGACGCAGCCTGTGGGGTGGGGACGGCGCCCGAAGGCCGCGCTGTGGGGCTGTGTGGGGCTGTGGGGTTGTAGGGCTGCCCGTGGGCCCCGCACCGCTCACCCGGCCCCACAACTGCCCCACAGCTCCCCTCTCTCCTTCATGGACATCACGGCGCTGGAGATGAGCTGCATGGCCGCTTATGGGGCGCCCGTCTTCCCCTACATCGCCCTCGGGGGTTACCCAGGTCAGGGGGGCTGTGGGGTCATGGGGCGCTATGGGGTGACGTGGGGGGCTGTAGGGGGAGGGGATGCCGTGGGGTTTCGGTGGGGTGATGTGGGGTTGTAGGGCGCCATGGGGTATGGGGTGCTGTGGGGCACTATGGGATATGGGATGCCATGGGATGTGGGGCTCCATGGAGCGCTATGGAACCCTATGGGGCGCTATGGAACCCTATGGGGCGCTATGGAACCCTATGGGGCACTATGGAACCCTATGGGGCCTTAAGGAACCCTATGGAGTGCTATGGAACCCTATGGGGCCTTAAGGAACCCTATGGGGCGCTATGGAACCCT